AATGATAAATGTTCTATTATTGTGTTCCCATTCATGTGCAATAACTTATGATACCTATAGGGGGTGTAGTGAGCTATGTGACATTAAGAGCAAGAAGATGGCTGCTGCATATTTAATGAGACATGTGCTTTAGGGAGGAAGTGACCTATAGGTGGCCTAGTGAGCACTGTGACGTCGAGTGAATAAAGATGGCTGCCGCATAGTCAATGAGACATGTGCTTTAGGAAGGTATTGAGAATTCTTAAGTCACTTCCTTTCACAAAGGACCACATGTAGTATCCGCCTCCTAGAGATGACCATTAGGTATTGGTTATGTTACCTCTGTGGGTGGATACTAGATGGGAGGTTATTCAAGGGGTTTCCAGAAACTAGAGTTTCAGTTTCATGACTGGGTCGGAAGAAGCCAGGTGTCTTTAGAGGTGCCCATGTAAATCCATTTAACATGTGGAAAGGAACTCACCTCATTGTTCTGTGTGTTATGCTGATTCAATTATCCTGTGTAAGCTGCTGAATCTCCATGAATAGAGCTAAGTAGATTTCTTACCTGAATGTATTGTTTATAGCAGTGTGTGTTTTTTTAAAGTATTTGTTTTTTTTGTGTGCTTGATAATTGTATTCCCAGTAAAGTTTTGTTTATACTTTCATCAAAACTTTGCCTCTTGTCTGTTCATTCAAGATATTCACTAATATTTATGTGATTGACCAGTATACCTTTTATTATTTTATTTGTGGTATTATTTCATATTTATGAAATTCAGAACTTCATAAATATAAAGAAATTACTTAATTTACCATTACAAACAGTATAGATTATTATATTTTTATTTTTTATTATTGATACATTTCTTCTTCTAATTCAAAATATTAGTTCTTTTAGGGTAATTAAATTATACCGTAAAGCATACTCACACACACACACAGACAATCTTACTGATGCACACAAATAGGCTCATTGATAGACAATGACACACACAGACAAGGTTACTGGCACACACACAACTTTAGTACAGACAAACTGATACACACAAGCTTACTATAGACAAGCTCACTGATGCGCACACACTCTCCCTACAGACAAGCCCATTGACACACATGCTCCCTACAGAAGAGCTCACTAACACACAGATTCACTACAGACAAGCTCACTGACATACACATGCTCACTACAGACAAGCTCACTGACACACATATGGTCACTAGAGACAAGCTCACGATCACACTAATGCTTACTACAGACAAGCTCACTGTACACACATGCTCACCACCGACAGGCTCCGACACACCCATGCTCCTTACAGACAAGCTCACTAACACACACACACACACACACACATATGATCCCTACAGACAAGCTCACTGACACACATGCAAGCTCACTCACTAGCAGGCACACACACACACACAGGCGCTCCCTCACTAGCAGATGCGCGCGCACACACACACACACACACACACACACACAGAGACAGGCAGTCACTGACACCCAGGCAGACAGCCACACATACAAAGACAGGCAGACAGCCACACACACACACACAGTCATGCACACACAGACAGTCACACTCACACAGACAGTCACACACTCACACACTTACCACAGACAGTCACACACTGACCTGCTTCTTCCCTCAGCCAGGCCCCCGCCGCACGCAAGCCCCGCCGCACGCAAGCCCCGCCCCCGCCGCAAATGTATTTTTATTTTTCTCATCCCGGCCAGCCATGTGGAGCTGTGCCGGCCGCCTGGCTCCCCCTGCTCCCATGGGACTCTGTGCGGCCGCACAGCTCACACATAGCCGGCCGGGATGAAAGGAGCTGTCAGCCCAATGATTAGGGCTGACAGACGGGCCCCAGGTGCCGCGGCCCACCGTGAAATTTCCTGGTATCCCGGTGGGCCAGTCCGGCCCTGCCAGCCGCCACTACATTTGCCCAGTGTGCAGTTAGGGAGATATAGCGTTCCTGCCCGTGCTTACTGGTCCAAGTATCAGTGGTTATGTGGACCTTGCCACAGATGGCGTTGCGCAGTGCACACCTAATTTTGTCCACCAATTGGTTGTGCAGGGAAGGGATGGCTCGACTGGAAAAGTAGTGGCGGCTTGGAACCACGTACTGTGGGACAGCCACCGTCATCAAGTTATTAAAACTGTCCGTCTCCACTAGACTGAATGACAGCAATTCAAAGTCCAATTTTGAAATGCTGGCATTCAGGGCAAGGGATCGCGGGTGGGTTTAGGGAAGTACTTCCTCGTTCTCTCTGGTGTTTAGCAGATGGACAGCTGAATGCTTCCATGGGACAGTGTGGAGATGCTTGGGGACGGTGGTGGACGTGGTGGCGTTGCTGCCACATCCTCTGTTTGCTGGGTGGCAGGTGCCACTGTCACTCCAGATGTGAAGGAAGAGGCCAAGACAGCAGCAGAAGAGGAAGCAGGAGGAGCCTGAAACCTTTCTTGGTTTTTGAAGTGCTTACTCCACTGGAGCTCGTGCTTTGCATGTAGATGCTTGGTCATGCAGGTTGTGCTCGGGTTTAAAACGTTTATGCCTCGCTACAGGCTCTTATTGCACAGCGTGCAAACCACTCGTGTCTTGTCATCAGCACATTGTCTGAAGAACAGCCACGCCAGGGAACTCCTTGGAGCTGGCTTTGATGTGCTCGGTCCATGGGTGCGGTGGGCAGTAGCAGGCGTACTTTCTAGGGGACGGCTGCTCCGCTTTTGCACCCTGCTCCCTCTTATGCCTCTGTGCGACCACTGCCTCTTCCTCCAAATTGGACATGTCACTTGCATGAACTTGATTCCTGTCACGGGTGGCGGTACGGAAACCGGGACCCCAGAGTGCCTGTGATAAGTGGGAGTCTTCAGCGTGGAAGTGGATTACAGGGCCCGGTGCAGGGTAACCGCACGCCCCTGATGTTGAGCACTAGCATTTGTGCAGCCACAAACCAGAACCCTGATGCAGCTACAGTGGATCCCAGGAACTAGGAGCTTGGAAGTAAGCAGACCTCCCATGAACTGGATAGGGTGGCTCTGCAGCAGACATGTATTCAGTAGTAGAAACAAGGCTAGGCTAGGATAGTCACCAAACATGAAAACAAGGCAAAACTAGGAGAACCAGAGCAGGACAGAAAGCAGAACCTAGAACATGTACACAAGACATGAAGAAAACAAGAACATAACATGGGCATGACTGAACAGGACTGTACATGGACTGGAATTACAAGACAAGAGATACAAGGTAAAACAAGAGGAAACATAGCTAAGCACTAATTATGAAAAGTATGGGGATTTAGTCACATTATATGATCATACATTGCACAAACCTGCCAACAACGCCAATGTACCCCATATATGGCAGGTCCTACACTGCCTAATGCATGCTAAAACAACCACACTGAACCATAATAGCACGTGTGGTGACATTCTGTCATCAAACTAATATGGTGACCAGGGGTCATGTGACCAAGCTCATGTTTGCTTTTCTTACAGTGGGATAAGCTTCACCCTTTTGAAATGTTAATTGGTAATTCAATACCTTTACAAGTCAGGAAAGAGATAACCACTTCCCCCTTTCTCCATTCCTCTCTGTTCCTTCTTGGCTGTGCTACAGAGCAGATGTGCAGACGCCATGTGCTATCTTGGTGAACCATGTTACACTCTGTTGCTTCCTTTTCTTCCTTGGTGGATGTGATGTTGAACTTGCAGCAGTGAGCCATTACTAGATGTGAAGGCCTAACCGTGGGTGAGATCAAGCGTGTGTGTAAGGGGTTACTATATAGATAGATAGATTTAAAAAGGGTTGTTGCTCCGTGGGTCTGGGCTGTGTGTTTGTGATACAAGAGGACATAGTCTTAAATTAGAGGGACAAAGGTTTAAAAATAATATCAGGTAGTATTACTTTACTGAGAGGGTAGTGGACGCATGGAATAGCCTTCCAGCTGAAGTGGTAGAGGTTAACACAGTAAAGGAGTTTAAGCATGCGTGGGATAGGCATAAGGCTATCCTAACTATAAGATAAGACTAGGGAGTAATGAAAGTATTTAGAAAATTGGGCAGACTAGATGGGCCGAATGGTTCTTATCTGCCGTCACAT